CTGCCTCTGATGGATTGGATGAGCTACTGTAGGGTAATGGTGGGGGTTGAGAGAGAGGATACTGCTATTTCTCCGAGGCCTTGCTGTGGCTCTCATTTTATTCGTGGCTTGGGCAGTGTGCCCTGTGATCTTCTGCTACAGGGTCACTTTGTCCTTCACTGGGTGGATCCTCTCCCTACCACCTCCCCTGCTTCTAGTCCAAGTGAACTCACAGCCAGTGCCTTCAGGTATCCTCTGCATTCTCCTTGGAGTGTGAAGAGCATCTGGATCCCAGTGTTCAATACATACCATCATTTCTGGTTGCCTTTCTCTGCTTCATGATGTTATACTGCAATTTCTATTTCACTGTTGCTATTTTATTTCTGTGTAAGTCTTTCCTAAGGCACCTTATATTTTTCTAAATTATTCTTTAGGCAGTAAGATACAAGTTCCCTGCTAGCCTTTTGCTAGACTTTTCTGATTGTTTTTGATATTATCATTGTGGATTTTCAACCTGGGATGTGGAAGCCCGGTAAGCAATTTGACCTTTACCTGCTCTTTTTCTCTCCACTCACTCTCGCCCCCAATCCTAGAAGGACAATTTACTCACCTGGGAAGGTATTTCCCATTTTCTCTACCACCTGCCTCTCTCCACGCTAGATTCCCATGAGGCTTTTTGCTCAGACCTCCTTGTTTTTGATGAGTGAAGTGAAACTTTGGGAACTTAGAGGACTCTCTCCTTTCTCAACAAATGCTGGTTATGTTATGAATGATAATCTAAGTGGAAACGCAAAACTGAGTGATGACTTCTAAGTTCTAGGCTGGGTTCAGCCTTTCCAAAGGAGGAGTCATGCCCTTGATTTAAAGGGTAGCTATAGGAGGAAGTAGGACCAAATTATTTACATGGAGTGAAACAATTGTCAGTTTAATATCATATAAATATTATTTCTATTACCTTTGTGGAGAAGGTTTGAGGCTGAGCCAGGTTGCAGGCTGGGCCTGATCAGCACAATCAGTCATTGGCACAGCAAAAGTGCAATGGGCTTTTCGTGCCTATGTAACTTACATTCTAGTCCAGTGGTTCTCAACCTTGGCTGCACATTAGAATCACCTGGGAATCTTGTTAAAATCCTGATTTCTGGGCCTCATCCTCCGGAAATTCTGTTTCTTTGTTACTAATGATGAGGCCCAGAAATCAGGATTTTAACAAGAGTCCTACGTGATTCTAATGTGCAGCCAAGGTTGAGAACCACTGTATCTAGTCTAATAGAACCCACAGGTGTTCAGGTGTCTGCCCTTTCCCAGTTCGTGCTTATAACGTAAGAGGAAACTGAGCTCTGACCGGGTGGCTCAGTTGGTTGTACACCAAAAGGTTGCAGGTTTGATTCCCAGTCAGAGCACATACCTGGGTTGTCCAAAAGGTTGCAGGTTCGATTCCCAGCCAAAGTACATACCTGGGTTGTGTTGTGGGTCCGATCCCCAGTTGGGGCAGGTATGGGAGGCAAGCTCTCTCTCTCTCTCTCTCTCTCTCTTTCTCTACCACTTACCCTCTCTCTCTTCCTCTCCCTCTAAAATCAATAAAAAACATATCCTCATGTGAGGATTCAAAAAAAAAAATGAAACCGAGAGACTTACCCCCACTTCAACTCCCACTCTAAGAATAGACATTAGTTTTATACAATCAAGGTAATCCCCTTTTAGCTGTTTTCAATAATCTAATCTTACACTGCCTGTTCATTTCACAGGTGACTTTCATTAGTAGTGTGTGTTCATGTGACCTAATTTAACCTAATCAGATTCAAACGAAGGTCTTTTGTTTCACGACTGGGAAAGCGTCTCTCTCTCTCTCTCCTTCTGCACGCACCAAGGAAGCCCGCAACCCACTACTTCTGATAACCTTCTTTAGACCAAGGTAAAACAGTTTGGGGATGAAATAGATCCTGTATGTGGCATAAAGGGGAGAGAATTATTCTGGGTAAACCAAACAGCTCTGAAAGTGTCCCCTATCTCTGAATTTATTGTTACGTGAGACAATACATTTCCCATTTTGAGACAGGATTTCTGGGGGGGGTGGTGGTGGTGGTGTGTGTGTGTGTTTAGCCGAAATTCCTTATATGGCATACATGGGTTGCAGAGAGTAGTAGATTGGGGCCAGGTAATTCACATCCTACTAGGGACACTGAAATAATGAATTAGAAAGCCAGAGGTAATAGTCGGGGGAAAGGGATAAAGCAGGAAGGACTACAAAAAGCCCCTTGTATCTCAAACACTTAAGGTATGTTTCACAGTTGTGATCGGTTGGGGAGAAAGAATTTGGGTTAGAGGAGAAGAAGGGATGAAGTAACTAACAGTGAGAATTTAGATTCCGGTATTGATTTTTGTTTTGGATACATTATCACATTTCTGCTTCTCAACAAAGAGATAGGTGCTTAGAGATAGAAACCTGAGACTCTGAGATATTAAGTAACATTCCTATGATGACATAGCTTTTATAGTCTGATTCCAATTCAAGCTCATCCACAGCTTTCTGAGTCCCTCACTGTGTACAGCATGGTTATTAAAGAAGGCAAAAACTGCAAATTTATTTTTTAAAGGGGTCCATCAAAAGTGCTAATGTAAAGAGGAGATATATCTCCCAGCTCTAACGAGCATTTGCTAACTCAGAATAGATTGAGAACAACTCCTTTCTTAAGGTTTTAGAGTTATTGTGTTAATTATTTCAATGTTCTGAGAACAGAACACTCTGAGCTTTTACATACTTATCACAAAGCTGACAAACAACTCAGTCATAGGAAAGAGACCAGCAGAAAGATCCATAAATCCTAATGTTGGACATTCCGGGGAGCCCTCTCACCTCTTTTATGCTGCCCAACACCACAAGGCCTGGCAGAAAAGGCCCCACAGAGCCCTGGTGCTTGATGTGTTTCCCCAAATATTGCTGGCATTATTGAGAAGATAGATGAAGCAGGACCTTTTAGGGGTATTAGTTGTATAATGTTTTAATCTCTCCTCTTTTCCAATATCTAGCTCTCTTTCCGAGCTTTGCTTTTACAGATGAGTAAGAAAAGACTGATCCTGTAAGGTTCTGGGGAAGGAGGTTCAGGAGGGTCTGGTTTGCATTTTCTATTACTTGTTTTTCTTCCAAGAATCATTTTATTTTCCCCTAGGAAGCTTTCTTCTGTTATCACAATGACATCCAATGAATTTAATGTCTTTCTCTTTGGGGGGGGTGGGGAATCCTACATTAGGATCTGGAAGAATTCTATCATTTTTTCCTTAAGAAAATTTTGAATTCCCCTGAAATATGTGAGTCCACAGAAGCTATCCTTTTTTTAAATTTACATCTTAAATACAGTCATGTTCTGCTTAACCATGGGGATACATTCTGAGAGATGTGTTGTTATGCAAACACCCTAGTGTGCACTTGCACAAAGCTAAATGGTATAACCTACTACTGCAGTTGTATGTGCTATACTTTTTTAAGGAATGGCAGCACCGGTAGGTTTGTTTACACCAGCATCACTACAAACACCTGAGTAATGTGTTGTGATATGATGTTAGGGCGGCTAGGGCGTCACCATGGCTACGACATTACTGCAGCTAGGGCATTATGAGGGTTAGGACATCACTAGTGGTTAGTTGTATATGAGGTCCCTTGCTGACCAACCCTTGTTATGACTGTATTCAGTTTCTTCCCATTGGTAGCTTATCTTAAAGGTCTGGAATGGTTCTGGGGGGAAGACTTCTCATGAAATGACTTTTCTTATGCATTAACCCTGCCTTGATAATTAAGGAAAAGGCCCTTTGGGTAAGTGTAATTATTAGGGACATTTAAAATATGGAATTCTTTATTAATTGAATGGGGTATGTGTGTTATGTATATTTTGCTTTTGTGTTTGAGAAGGTAATTATTAGGTGAATCATATAAAGTTTCCATTTCCAATTGTCAAATACTGCAATTTTTTTGTTTTGTTCAATCTTATCTTAATATTTTGGCATCTCAGGTGTTCATAGATTTTGCATGGAGTTGTTTGCTCATAAATATTTCTTCTTTTTCTCTCATAAATTTTCTGATTAGAAAAAAGAACCTGATATATATTTTTTTAAGTTTTTGGGGCTAATCACTGACATTGAATATTTTCTTGCAAATGAATCAGGTGCTGTGTTTTTGCCTTTGTCTTCTATTTTGAATTACATCTTAATATGTTCTTTTCTTCCAAAGAATTCATGGTGTAATTGCATGATGAACTCACATAATAACAGTAAAATATCTGTCTTTTATGTATATTATTTATAGGGAAATTAGTAGAGTTAAACTTTGACTGCAAAATAGCCCTAATTAAAGTAGATTAAATGCCTCTTACTTTATTTAAAATTATGTTCATAAATTAAGTAAAAGTAAATCAAATGGCTCATTAAGAGGGAAAATGGGTATGATTTCCAAATAACTACAAATCAGATTTTAATTCTGATATAAATATGCCTACTTTATAATTACTGAGAGTAGGTTCTTGGCATTTTTCAGCCCTCCAAAAAAGGGACAGTTTATTTCATGGCACACTAGTTTTTATTGAGGGCCAGCAAATGTAAAACACTTGACATCAATGAATTTTCCTTTTAATTTTGTTTTTCTTTAAGGACTCAGGGTTTAAAACATTACATGTTCAACAATAAAAAGATAAAAACATGTCTCACAATCACCCTGCTATGGATGAAACAGGTGGGACTAGGTAGAGTGTTTACGAGGTTACTGAAAATGAGGCAGTAGCTAGGAACACAAGGAACACCTGCCCCAGAGGTTACAGGTCATTGGAAAATGCCCCCAGGGCTGCGTTTTCTACATATCGATCCGTTAGAATTAATGCTTTCCATGTCCTTCAGGTCCTGAGGGATCCTACAGTTGTGATGTTTCTGTATGGGGTTTCCCTTTCATCTTGCTCTCTGCTGACTCCTTTCTCTTAAGCACTTCATCTGGAGGTCAGGGACATTGTTAAACTGGGCATACTCACTGGCTCGGGCAGCATAAGTTAATGGGCATAGAGAATTTGGACAAAATTTTGAGATTCATTGTCTTCATTGCTAAAGTCACATTCAGATGGCGGGAATTCTTACCTTTTTTCTTTTCTCTTTTTTATTCCTCCTCTTCCTTTGCCTCCTTCATTTTATACTCTCCTCCCCCCTTATACTCCATTTTGATGTTCCCCTTCAATTTCCCCAAAATTACTTGGTGAGCTGTTTTCGAACATGGGGTATATTTTACAATAAAATGATATTGTAAATGATGGTTAGATTCCTTGCTAATTCATTCATAAACTTTAATTATTAGTGTTGTTAAAGTTTTATATTGAGATTATAAAACAACTTTGTTGCAATATTGATAATTAAACTCAACAGAAAACATTTAATTAAAACTAGACATTTTAGTTGGCAAGGATAACTTCTAATTTTGAATCATATTTCATATTTAATTTGCTCTCATTTTAACTCAATTTTCTGGTTCACTACAACTTGTAGTTTAATTTTAATATTTTAACTTATTAAATCATTTAGTCCACTTTTTTCATTTAACTTGATTTAGAGAAAATATGCATGAGACAATGTAATCAATAGTCTTTCTTTGAAGACATAAAGAAATTAAGAAGTAATTGTTTAAAAAGATGATTCCCATCATTAATTGAGGCAGAATTTTTATAAATTGTGTTATGCTAGTAATTTTCTTCTCCATCCATGTTACCTATTATAGTTGGAGTAGTATCTTTTCAAGTATCTGGAGTAGACATTTCAGAGACATTATGTGATCTGATATTTCCCATCATTCTTAAAACACAGGTGAGCAAAAATTCTTTATTTAATGTTTTCTACAACTGAACATAATTTCTATTTTGAGCAACTATTTTCTGCAGGGTCAAAAAATTGTTCTGATTAGAATTTCCCTCATCTTTTCTGCTGAATTGAACCTAAGTTCTAGAAGGCTTTCATAATGTCACACACAGTGTTGTTGGTGAGCTGCATCTACCGGACCCATTGTGCCATCTGGCAATGCTGATATATGCAGTCATACCATCGTCTGGTCCTTGGTCACTGGAACAAGCAAGTTACCCGGCAGACTAAGTTTTTATTTGCTTGTCTACCTCACTTCTGCTACTTCTTTATAGCCTGCCCATGCTGAGTCATGATAAACTCTTACAGTTGGCTAATGTTTTATTACTTCTGCAACACCATGCTGTTATTTTTTATCTGAGGATTCCCTCCATTCGTCTACTTAGGACAGAGTCTACCAAGCTTTCTACTCCCAGGTACCACTATTTTGAGCAACTATTTTCTGCAGGGTCAAAAAATTGTTCTGATTAGAATTTCCCTCATCTTTTCTGCTGAATTGAACCTAAGTTCTAGAAGGCTTTCATAATGTCACAGTGTTGTTGGTGAGCTGCATCTACCTGACCCATTGTGCCATCTGGCAATGCTGACATATGCAGTCATACCATCTTCTGGTCCTTGGTCACTGGAACAAGCAAGTTACCTGGCAGACTAAGTTTTTATTTGCTTGACTACCACACTTCTGCTACTTCTTTATAGCCTGCCCATGCTGTCATGATAAACTCTTACAGTTGGCTAATGTTTTATTACTTCTGCAACACCATGCTGTTATTTTTTATCTGAGGATTCCCTCCATTCATCTACTTAGGACAGAGTCTACCAAGCTTTCTACTCCCAGGTCACACAAAATTTCCTGGGAGTTCTGGGGATAGTCACAGTGCAGGGCCCATTTCTCGGGGTCCAATCAGTGCCTTGGTTCTGATGAAAACTACTCTTTCTCTTCTTCCAGCCCTTGGGAAATCTTGGTGTGTTTGTGTTCATGGAAATAGCACTCCCATTTCTCCAAAATTACATCCCAGTTATAACACTTGTTTCACTTTTCCCCATATCCTATCCACCTGATACTCTACTATTTCATTTTTTGAAAATGTCGTTTACATTTCCACCTTTATATCTTTGCTAGTGCTGATCTCTTTACCTAGAATATTTTTGATGGCTTTTGAAAGACTATTCATATTTATTATGCAAGGTTCAGGTTAAATGCTACTGCATCCAAGAAGCCTTCTTGGGTTTCCTCAGAAAAAAATGACTGGCTTTTATTTTTTTCCACCTTCAACCACTGTCATTCTTTCTTTCTTTTTTTTTTCTTTCTTTATTTAAGTTTCCAAGCATTTAAGAAAATCCTGCCTTGATTAAAACTATTTGTTTCAATCTTCAACAACTCACTAGATATTAGACACTTTGAAGGAAAGAATTGTCTTATTTTGAAATTTAACAAGCATTTCAGATTTTTTTTTTACATTGTCTGCCCTTTCAGCTGTTCTAACAAAGGCTAACATAGGAGTGGCTTTTTCTGTTTTATAACTTGGCTACCCTCAGTAGAGTTTCCATTTAATGGTCTCAGATCAGGGTGACCACAAGACCCTGGGACAACAGGAGCAAATGGGAGTGACCTGGGTAAACCCATCTATATGGTCACCCTATCTGAGTTGGTTGCTCTTTTTAAAGTAATAAAAAACAAGGAGGGGAGAAGGGAAAAAGGAGGCAAGCTCCTGGAAGTTGGACTCATCACTTTCATTACATCACAAGACAGAGTGTAGCCACAAGGGCACACTGAACTGTCAGGGAAGCTGGGAACGTATGAGCGGGTGCCAGATTTCTAGTTAAACTCGGGGGCTATTAGCAAGAGGAAGGAGGGAGACTGGGTATTTAGGGACAACAAATAGTCTCTGCTACACAGAATGAATTGGAACATTTCCTTTTAAGTAAATAACTATAAACTTTTAGAGAGGAGTGCTTCCCTTTGGGAGATGGGGAAATATATTGTTTTTCACTCTTCTGTGTACTAAGTAGATATCTCTCTTTAAAGACAAATCACATAATAAAAATTCCTGAGAAAAATGTTTTGAGAAAGCAGCCCAGAAAATATTATATGTCTGTCTTTTGTATTTTTAGAATAGGTTTTGTTATGGTATTAACTGAATGAAAAACAATATTTAATAGGCTGTCCCAGTAAATATAATTTAGAGGAAATTGGTGAGGAAAACGTGTGACAAAACTGTGGATTTTGCATCCAGATTTTATCAGTTTGCTCTTCCAGCTCTGCTCTGGTGGATTTGAGGTTTCATACTGTGATTACCTCCAGTAGGACTGAGTGTTCAGCTTCACTCACTAATTAGCCACGCCATCCAGTGGCTGAACCCAGTTTAGAGGAATTTAGCCATAGGCACTAGGATGTGCCCACAGCAGCAAGGGTCAGGCCCCCACATCTCCAAGTGGCTTCTCTGAAGATTTCAGAGGAGGTGAAAGGCTCCCTTGGCAGATACATCTTTTTAATCAGTGGTGACCTCAATGTGTCATCCCACATTTTTGAAAGGAATCTGAAATACAACAGCCATGCCTTAGATTTGAATGTATACTTTTTTCCTCTCTCTGCAACACCCAATTTTGCTATCAGTCATGGTTGCTAATATCCCTGCTGTCTTCAGCCTAGCTGCCAACCCTGTCAGTTACTGAAATATTGTTTATGCAGGAGCGATTTATTTTCTGGAGAGATGAAAAGCAGATTGCAAAAGCAGAATATTGCCAACTTGTTGGAGTGTATTCCAGTGCAGAATGCTTCAATATAATTTTTGAATTATTATTTATTATTTTATGTTGATTGGTAAAGTGCCTCTTAAATAATTGATTCATTACAAATCATTCTATGCTTGAAATTATTTCCAGTCCAGTGTTCCTTTATTTGTGTTTATAAGTTAATCTAACTATACATTCTTGAAAATATTGGGCAAACCAAGGATGAATCATGAAGTGCTTCAGTGTGACATGTTTTTTTCATGTCACACATGTGCTATGTGTAAATTATATTTTGTGTAGAAGCATATTTTAATCTTATTTTAAATGGTCTGCCCTGGCTGGTTTGGCTCAGTGGATAGAGCGTCAGCCTGCAGACTGAAGGATCCCAGGTTCGATTCTGGTCAAGGGCACATGCCCTGGTTGTGGGCTCGATCTCCAGTAGGGGGCGTGCAGGAGGCAGCCAATCGATGATTCTCTCTCATCAATGTTTTGATCTCTCCTTCCTTCCTCTCTGAAATCAATAAAAATATTAAAAAAATAAATGGTTTATAACTTTTTCTAAATAACTTTTTACATTTTTTTTTGCTGTTTTTACAAAACTTATTAGGATGCAGGAAAGGCAAAATGGTTTTTGTTTTATTCAATGGCCTTACTCTTATTTTCTTAGAAAAGACAATCAACAAACATTTCTACTTAGAACATGTTGAGCCTTGTAGGGGAGAAAATGATAATTATTCTGCCTTTCATTTATTTTTCTTCTTTTTTCATTGCATAACATGCTATTTTTTTCTAGTCTCTCTCCCTTTCACCCTCTCCTCTCCTTTCTTTGTTTTCTTTTTAAATTTCCTGCTCCCTACCCCCATTTCTTCTAACTTCATGTATTAATTAGGGAAGTTCTAAATTCCCTCTTTTGGCATTGATTATCTCAGAAAAATGATCATTTTACTCTATAACAATTATTTTATACTTAGGAAATCTAAAGTGTTCATGAGTTTTAAGTCAGGTAGCATACTGGAAAATCAGTGACTTCCTAGTTCTTCCTCCTTCTCTATTTCTTCCTTCTACTATACATTTACAAACAGAATAATACCAAACATCATTATAAACCTTCTTTTCTTAAGAGAGAAGAAAGCAATAGCCAGGACCTATTTCATGCAGCAGTTATTATTTCTGCTTCCAGGCATAGTGACCATTGTTCAGTTTGACCTCTATTAACTTTTTGAATAATTCTATTAAAAGTTATGTTGTGTATTTCTTGACTGAAATTGCAACTAACCTACATGCTATTTGAGAATAAACACTCATTTTTCATTGAGATTGTACCAAATGGAAATATGTAGGAGCTCTTTCTCTCTGGACAGAATGAGAAGAAACCCATCTTTTAAAGCATACAAATATTTTTAAAGAAAAAATTACAGG